TTTAGACCTCTATAAATGCCCTTTTCCTCCTAGCTCTTTCCTCTGTTTCCTTTTACTTTCCTCTTGTCCCACTATCATCCTCAGCCTTCATTAGGGTTTCAGTAATTTCTCTCGGTTACATTACCTGCCCTGCTAGGCCTCCTACACCCTCCTTGCCACTGATTTTGGACCACTTGTTGTTCCCTTGTCTCTGGGTTGGTTAACACCACTTTCTTTCCCCACCTCCCCTTCTCCTCTGTCCCCCTGGAACCATCGTTCCTGTTGTTTTCTCCTCCAGATTGTTTATCCAGCCTATTCTTATCTAGATAGACCTGCAGAGATAATAATAACAAGACAGAGCAAAACAAAGCGACAAAAGAAAACAAAAACAATGACAACAACTATAAAAAGTAGTGACCCCACCCCTAAAAAGAAGAAAGACCCATAAATAGTTCAAGGTCTGTATGTTGACCTTTAGAGTGTTTTCTGGTCGGGTCTGATGGGTGCCACGCCCTGGCCCCAAAGTCTGTTTTTGGTACTCCCTTGGGACTTCCTTGCTCTGTTCCCCGTGCTGTTCTGTTTGATGCCCTTAGTGTTTGCCTGGGTGTGGTGGGGCATGTATTATGTTCCTGATGTCATCTCATCCCATAGCTTCTCAGGTCTTGTGGACGTGATTATTTTTTTAATTGTCTTTGAGAGTTTTTCATTAACCTGATGAATTCCTTTTCTTTTTGTCTTTTGTTATAGATTTGTTCCTCTTCAGTTTATGTTAGTTTGGTAGGTAGTGTGCTTCTAGTTGTTTGTCCATTTCTTCTGTGTTTCTTCTATGTGTTTGAATTAGTTGGATCACAGTTATTCACATTATTCTGTTCTTATCCTTTAATTTCAGCTGGTCTGTTCAGTTGCCATTCTGCTCTGGAGGAAAAGCATGGATTGGGAGCTATCCCTCAGTTCCTTAATTATTCTTAGGCTATGTGCCCCTCGTAACGTAAGAAGCTTCTAAGACAATTGTTTCTTTCTGTTTGTCTATTGTCTATCAGTCTACCTACCTACTGTGCATTTTTATAGTTTTTACCATGTACCAGGTACAATTCTGAACATTTACAAATAATTGCATAATGTAATTCGTACAGCAATCCTATAAAATAGGGAACATTATTAGTACCACCATGCTAGTCAAGCGGGGCAAGATGAGGTTGCAGTTATGAACAATACCAAAATATCAGTGTCTTAACCAATAGTATTTCTTGCTATTGGGAATCTCTCTTCTAAATGATAACGATCCCATTTGGAACATGTGACTTAAAAAAAAATCATTTTATTGGGGGCTCGTACAACTCTTATCACAATCCATATATCCATCCATTGTGTCAAGCACATTTGTACATTTGTTGCCATCATCATTCTCAAAACATTTGCTTTTTACTTGAGCCCATGGTATCAGCTCTTCATTTTCCCCCCTCCCTCACGAATCTTTCATAATTTATAAATTATTATTATTTTGTCATGTCATACACTGTCTGACGTCTCCCTTCACCCACTTTTCTGTTGTCTGTCCCCCAAGGAGGAGGTTATATGTAGATCCTTGTACTCGGTTCCCCCTTCCTGCCTCACCCTCCCTCCACCCTCCCAGTATCGCCACTCTCACCACTGGTCCTGAGGGGTTCATCTGTCCTGAATTCCCTGTGTTTCCTGTTCCTATCTGTACCATTGTACATGCTCTGGTCTAGCCAGGTTTGTAAGGTAGAATTGGGATCATCATAGTGGGGAGGGTGGGAGGGGGCGAAGAGGGAAGCATTTAGGAACTAGAGGAAAGTTGTATGTTTCATCGTTGCTACAGTGCACCCTGACTGGCTCGTCTCCTCCTCTTCTGAAAGGGGATGTCCATTTGCCTATAGATGATGGGCTTTTAGTCCCCACTCCACATTCCCCTTATTCACAATGATATGATTTTTTGTTCTTTGATGCCTGATACCTGATCCCTTCGATACCTTGTGATCACACAGGCTGATGTGCTTCTTCCATGTGGGGTCTGTTGCTTCTCAGCTAGATGGCCACTTGTTTACCTTCAAGCCTTTAAGACCCCAGATGCTATATCTTTTGATAGCCAGGTACCATCAGCTTTCCTCACCACATTTGCTTATGCACCCACTTTGTCTTCAGTAATTAGGAACAGGTGACTTTTAAGGTCCTGGAAGCAATGGAAGAAAAGGATGGAAGGAGACACCTCCGTTCTTAACTTTCTCAACCATAACGTTCTTAACCTCCTCTCTTCTCATCATAGTCCTCATTGCTTTCAAGTCAGTGCTGATTCATAACGACCCTGTAGGACAAGGTAGAACTGCCCCTGTGGCTTTCTGAGATGGTAACTGTTTACGGGAGTAGAAAGCAGCCTTTTTCTCCCAAGGAGCAACTGCTGCTTTTGAACTGCTGAGCTTGTGATTTGCAGCCCAACATGTAGCCACTATGGAGCAGGACCCAAACCAACTGCTTAGGAGGCTGGGATATGTAAGGGAGCCCATGGATGTTGAGTGAGTGCTGTCTGTCCTGGCCAGAACCACATTTCTGATAAATTATGTTATTTGTCAAAGGTCACACGCTAATAATAGCTGAGGTCAGATTTGAGCTCAGGCAGCCTAGCTTCAGAGTCCAAACTACTAAGAGCATGGAGGACTACTGTGTCTCTTTTGTGCCTGCTATTTAAAGCAGTATCTCCAAAGGCTGGCAGAAAACTGCCTGTGAGATCAGTGAAAGGATCCCATGTCTTTACGTGGGTATTTTAAGGAATATTATGGGAAGATGCTGATTAAATGTGATTTTCATCTTATGCCAGATTTTAGAATATACTCTTAGGTAAAATGTAACTGCTCTGTATTATGTGTTCCACAAGCATTTGTTGTCTTCAAATAATCCTGTTCACCAGCCTTGGAAACCATTTGAAATGTGAGTTTGGGTCTTTCTTATTTTAATGTTTTTGGGAAGACACATTCTTCCCACCCCAGCTGCCTTCCATCCATGATGTCATTATGTTGTCAGTCCACAGCTGGGAGCGTGGGCCAGTTTGTCATGGGTGACTGCATGTTACTTATCACATAAATGGCGAGCCCTTCTCCCACACGTGCCACCATAATTTAGCATACTCTTTCACCTGTCCACCTCTTCTCAGTTGCTAATTTCTTTTCCATGGTTTTTAAAAATAGCTCCATTTTTTATATAGCCAGGAACAACACTTAGGCGTATAAAAAATAAGTAAGATTCTGACTGGCCAGCCAAGATTCAACTATTCGTCTCCTCCTATGCAGAGGAAAGAAGGATGAAGAACATTTAAGATACATGGAAATAATGAGTACAGTAGACCAATAGTCCACACAAGCATCAGCCTCCATGACTGAGACCAGAGGAATTAGATGCTGTCTGGCTACTCGACCAACGGCTCTGAGAGGGATCACATTAGAAGATCCTGGATGGGGTGGGAGAGACGTGGGGAACAAAACTCTGCATCATAAATAACCCCGTTTACCAGGCAGAGGCCGGTGGAACCTCTGAGATGAAGGCCCGGGGTCACCCGTGACATCTGGAACGTAGCGCACTCCTGTGGCCCAATTTTCAGCCAAACAACAGACTGGTCTCTAAGGTGAATTCTAATACTAGTGAGGTACACATACCTTGGAATAATCAACCCTTTAACGTTAAAAGGGCAGCATTGGCCCAAGGACAGAGTCCAAAGGGCAAGTAGGCTTAGGAAAGTGGGAGGAGTAGAAATGAGAAGTACGGGGAGGAAGGAGGGTAAGCTGTATCAAATTGCAGGGGTTGCAGTCAATGACCTGACACAAAATGTGTATGAGTTGTTGACTGGAAAACAGATTTGCACTCTAAACCTTCAGCCAAGTCACAACGAAGAGTTACAAAGAAACAAAACAAAACAACTAGATTTGGTTTTGTGTAAGAAAATACATGGTTGTTGAAGCTCTCAGTGAAATGAGAATGCTCGATGGACTCAGAATGGGAGAGGAGAGTCTGCTATTAGACCAAGGGTCAGCGGGAAATTAAATAACTGTGGAGCTGAAACATCTTTCAAAAGGGTGTTCCCACATGGGGACACAATGACATATTTACTCCTTGATCCATGTATATACAGATGCATGCACGAAGGGGCTTCAAAAAGTTGGTGGAAAATGGAATTAAAAGACAATGGAATTTTTCCACCAGCCTTTTAATGTCCCCTCATATATGTAGTTTTTTAGCTTTTGTGTCGTCTACAGTTACTTACACTGCACAGCCAAAGGATATTTGTTATATCCTCAGTCTTGTTATCTTTGGGTAGATGCTTATTTTGCCCTCTTGGAAACTCACCGCTCCCTCTGCAGAAGGCAGACCTTTCATTGGTGAACGGCAGAAAGGCAGCACTGTGCGAGATGGAGTAAAACCAGGAATTAGTTACAGTATCACTGGCAAGTTCTACAGAGCCACAGCTGAGAGGCTATTAGGTTTGGGTTCCCCCCCCACCCCTTATCTTTCTCTTCTTTCCTCTCTCTCTCTCTCTTTCTACTTTGTTTTCTTTTTCAGGACTCATGTTTTCCTCTAGTCCCCATGGCAAAAGTCCAGCCCCCAAAATTCCAGGGAAGGACTATGATTGGTTCAATTTGGGATGCGTGCCCACTGTTAATCAGCACCCAGGGTTATACATAGTTGAGATGAGGAACAAGGGTATATTTCCTAGAATAAGTAGAGTTCCCCTAGCTCAGTTATTTTATCATTTTCTTCATTTTTTCCCCCCAGCCCTGTACTGATCTCCTCTTGTGACTGCAGAACTTCCTATATTCCAGGAAGGATTTCCTCTACCATTCCGAGTCCATGTAGTTTATTGAGCTGATTCTACCTCTGGCTCATGGGTAGAACATGTGGCTCAGGCCTGGCCCATAAGATCAGTGAATCCCCTGACCATGATTGCTACCCAAATGGGTCCAATCAGGGATGGTGAGGGCATCCCAATTAAAGCACGTGTTAGACTGCTGATGTGGGTGATGCAAACTGGAGTCTGAGCCAGGGGAAAAAAGACTAGTGCCTAGAAAATGCTACGGGGCAATTCTACTTTGTCATATGGGATTAGTATGAGTCAGAATGGACTCCACAGCACCTAAGAACAACAACAGCCATCAACTAGTTCGAATCAAGTTTCTGATACTTGCAAATGGAAGAGCCCTGATTGATAGGTTCTCTTACGTGGTGTTGCCCAAGCTACCTTCTAGTCCTCTGTAGTAGTCAGTCCTCTGTATTAGCTTTCCCTAGGTTCTGGTGCCATAACAAATCACCTCCATGCCTTAGAGCCACAAAGGCTGATTCTTCACCCTTGTCCCATGTTGGCTGCGCATCAGCCCTCATTCTGTGGCCCAGGACGAAGGAGCTGCCTCCTGCAGAGGGAGAAGCACAGGGGCTGAACACTGCAATGGCACACTGCACATCTCGAATTTCATCAGCCACTGTAAGTCGTATGGCCAAGGTCAGTATCAGTAGGGAAGTTGGACTCCCACAGGGAAGAGCTTCAAGGCACACATGTGGCAAAGAGTAACCCACTGCCATTCAGTCATTACGCTCCTGTGGGACAGAGTGCAACTGCGTGCTAGGGTTTCTGGAGCTGTCAGTTTTTACAGGAGCAGACTGCCTCATCTTTCTCTCGTGGAGAAGCTTAGTAGATTCGAACTGCTGACTTTATAGTGAGCAGCCCAATGCATAACCCATATCCCACTAGAGCTCCTTATGGCCAAGAGTAGGGATACACAATCTCTGATAGGGTTGTTGCTGTTGTGCTATCATTTTAAACTCATGGTGACCCCATGTGTCACAGAGTAGAACTACTCTAGGGATTTCTGGACTTCCATAGTCTTTTAAGAAGCACATCACCAAGTCTCTCCTTTTGCAGTGCTGCTGGATGGATTTGAACCACCAACCTTTAAGTTATCAGCCAAGTATGAACTGTGCTACCTAGGGACCTAAGGGAAAGGAACGATGATTGGGGACAAGAGCACAATCTATTTCAATCATTCTGCTCTGATCAAAATTTGACTGAGGGTATCTGGGGCCCCAGTGTAATGAGTTATAATGTAACGAGGGGCAGTTCTACCCTGTTGGCTTTACTCCTTCTTAGAAGTCCAGAACCATTTTGAGACATACAGTCTTGTCTAAACTCACCAGTCAGAAGCAATGCAATTATTTGCTATCAAATTTAGAACCGGATAATTTTGGATTTCCATTTGGACCCCAAAGAATTGTCCTGAGAATTGGTAAGTTTCATTTGAAAAAATAAATGAGGAAATAAGCACAAGGAATAAAAGCTCGCTGCTGCCTTTCTGGTCTCGGCCCAGGGGAGAGAGCGCATGAAAGCAGTCACTAAAACTGAGCCCTTCAATGAGACAAAGGCTGTGTTTTAGAAGAGAAGAGAGAAGGTTGCTTTGGGTGAAATGTCTTTTCAACCAAGTTCTACGCTTACAAAAGGAAGAGGGGAAACTCCACACTGCTTTCATGTTGGTGAAAGGTATTTCATGACCAGAACCTGAGGGGACAACAAAAGCCTCTTCGTGCCATTTGAGGACAAGCACATGCCGCATGGCGCTGTTTGTGCCGAGGTTAATGGTGGGGCCAGGAATTACACAGGAAGCTGCATGCATTTTGCACTAAAGACCCTAATTAAATGGTGACATTCCCCACTGAATGAAAATGAGATCCCTTTATTTTATCCTGTGGAAGGATAGATTTCTGTCTCAGGCGTTTAAGAAGCCAGAGAGTCTCATGAGAGCAGTAAGTCAGTTTAGCTCCTGATTCCTCTTCACACCGGAAGGAGAGCTGCTCTATGAGCTCAGGATGTGCTGAGGTATATCGTCCTCCCTCTTACTGGAGGTCTGACATTCGGTGGCCCTTTCTCCAGGGCACCAGTGCTGCTTCTTTCCTTTCTTGCTGTTGCTAGAAATGACCACAGATGGTTCTGGGCTGTAAACATCAGAGTCACATACAAGCTCGAGTTATAAACCAACCCCCATCCCCTTCCTCTAAAGCCTGTTTGTTTGTTTTAAACTGAGACAAATAACATCAAAACATTAGTAGAATTATTACTGTGTTATTATGTTAAGCTATTTTAGTTATCTGGATGTGCTTTTTTGATATTTTATGCATATACTCTATACTAAAACAAACACGAGATGCTTACCGAACTGTTCCAACATAAGTTCAAAATTGCTTTAAGGACAGATTTAGGACTAAAACTAATTTGCACTCTGGGAACTGCTTGTATTGGGAACAACCCCAGAAAGCCTGGGAAAGGCAGCATGGTGGACACATACAGGTTTCAACTTTAGTGCTGCCATTTCTTAGATGCTTTATTACTTTCCTGTATGACTATAACTAACACTAATTTGGTAGCCTAAAGCAGCACAAATTTATTCTGTTACAATATTGGTGTCCAAAATCAGGGCAATTTCCTTCTGGAAGCTCCTGGGGGAAAAAATCAGTTTTTTGTCTTTTCTAGCTTCTAGAGACCATCTGCATTCCTCGGCTCACAGCCCCTTCTTTACATCGCCCATACCTCTTGCTTCTGTTGTCATCTCTGTAGTAATGTCTCCTTTTACCTCATTGGGCTTATCTGAGCCACTCAGGATAATTTCATCACAAAATCCTGATCGATCACAACTGTCAAGTCCCTTTTATCAAAATAGTTTTTTAGTATCTATTATTTAGTATTTAGTATTCGTATGATGTATAATTCGATCACATACTATTTTATGATTAAAATTGATAAAAGTACCAAGGATTCTTCTGTGGTCTGACTTGGGAAGAGAGGTCCCTGGGGAAGGAGGGCGGCACCAACGAGTTACCAAACTAGGTGACACCACCCCTATTAATGCCACTGCTGCTCTGTCCTACAGGGTCACTATAAGCACATCCACTCAATGACACGCAGCAATGATCTTTGTGAAGGGCTTTACATCTGGTTGTGCTTTCTTGGTCTACAAAAACAACTTAATATCTTACCTAATGAAAATGGATAGAATTTGACACTAAATTTCTAATGTAAAGCAAGCTTTCTTCCTCCCTACATTGTTGCCAGGTGCTGTCCAGTTGGTGCTGACCCGATGCACAACAGAATGAAACTCTGTCTGGGACTGCCATCCTCTCACCTGTTCTCATGTTTGCCGCCCCTGTGTCAATCCATCTTATCGAAGGTCTTCCTCTTTTTCGTTGTCCTTCTGCTTTACCAAGTGTGATGCCCTTTTCCAAGGACTGATTTCTCCTGACAGCATAGCCAAAGTATGCGAGGCAGTTTCACCATCCTTGCTCCTAAGGAGCATTTTGGCTGTACTTTTTCCAAGACAGATTTGTTTGTTCTTCAATATGGATTATAACTTAATGTAAAGCAAACCCAAATCCTCACAACTGAATCAAGAGGAAATATTATGATAAATATAGGAAAGATGAAATTTGTACTTTTTCCAAGCTGGTATTTTCAATATTCTCA